CTATTCTAACACATCACCTTCTCATACCTTGGTCCCAAGCTCCCAACAAATGTGAAGCTACTCCTCAGAGCTCCCCCCACCCCCCGCCCCCAGCCCTGTCCCCTTTCCCTGCAGCCCCTCCCGGGCCTGGCGCATCCCAGTTGGAGGTTGTGTCAAGCGATGGCCACAGCCTTCGCTGGGAAAATGGCTACAAGCTTGCAAGCCGCAAACTTTCTGGGACAGTTGAACTGTGGGCAGCTGTTCAGTTGTGACTGTTGACCACACAGAGACATGCTCGTTAGAGGCAGGCATAACCTTTGGGTGTGCTGTATTAGGAAAGGGGAGGTATCTTCTGTTAGCACTTTGCTCAACCTTGCAGAGGGGCCGGCAATGGTTAGAACCAGCTCCTTCCTGGAGGGCCGGTGGATAAGAGACGCCGGATTACCATCTCTTGGCCCTAAAAGCTAGTTCAGAAATGATCGTACCCTTTCCTCTGTTGATACCCCAGGCTTCTGTGTCTGCTTAGCCCGGTGGAGGGTCAGGTGACCTTGTGCATAACGAGAAAGGCTGAGGAGAGGCCAACAGGCCTGTTGGTGCTTGTGGAAGAAGACCTTGAAGTATGACTGCTGCTAATTTTTCTTTTAGTCTGGTCTCACCATTCCCACTTGCTGCCGTTCAAGGTAATGTGTCAGCTGTCCCAATGTCCCCACAGGACGCAGGTCAGTCACATGTATTCTGGGGGTAGCTCTTTGAGGTCTTTTTGGCCCTTTCATGGGTAATTGATCAACTTGTTTCACCATCTGAAACCAGAGACCAAAAGTTAAAAGGTTGAGAAATTGGGAATAAGGAGACTTCCTTCCCAATGCAGGGCCAGTTCATGTTGAACAAAATGGCGAAATAAACACAGGAGTCAGATAGGGATCAGAATACTCACTTTATTACCCGCGAAAACTGGATGGAGCAGTCTGCCGGAACAAGAGCTACCTTGGCCTCCCTTCTTCTGGTTCCATCCACTGAATTTACCAGCCAGCCAAGATGGGCTCCCAGGTGAGACCTCACGTGGAGAAGAAAGCTGGGGCCATGAAACTGAAGGTCCACGGAGGGAAGAGTGGGAAGTGGGCTGCTCTTGCTGGAGGGCCACATCGGTCTCTGATCATTGCGGAGCAAAGACGATTCCCTGTTTGAGACAGGATGTAGCACAAAGAACCCTGGCCAGGGGAACTAGAAGCCTCAGGACCACTGGACGGAATATGTACCCCTTATTATATTGCTCCAGTGGAGCCCTGGTGGCATAGTGGGTATGCATTAGGTTGCTAACCTCAAGGTCAGCAATTCGAAACCACCCACCTCTCCTCTTGAGAAAAATGAGGCAGATTTCTACCCCCGTAAAATGGTACAGTCTCGGAAACCTACCCGGACAGGCTCTCCCCTGTCTCATAGGATCACTATGAGTGAGAATCCACTCAAAATAATGGCAATAATAATGGCACCTAATTGTTCCCATACATTACCCTCTGCCATTGAGCCTTTTCTGACTCATAGCGACCTATAGGGTTTCTGAGGCAATGCTTCTTTCCTGGAACAGATAGATTTGTCTTTCTGCCAAGGAACAAGTGGGTTTGAACTACTGACCTTCCGGACCCACAGTGTCACCAAAGTGCCAAGCATTAGCTCCTTTTATCCTTACAGGACATCCTGAGGTCAACAGTGGCATCCTATTTTGCAGATACGGCAGCTGATCTTAGAAAGTGGAAGTATATCTGAGTTAGTTAATTGTGCCAGCTTGGCCGATAATCACATGTGGGGCTAATTGAAAGGCGGAGGGATAAATGGGGGGTGAGCCTTGCCTTTCTAGTTCTCGGGTCTCTTGCTTTGTGATGGTCGCACCAGGGTGCAGCTGCCTTAGCAGTTCCCTGCTTCAGCTTGCAAGATTGACTTCCTACAAGACATCCCCAAGGAGAAGCTACATGGACCTACCCCGATGCAGCCCTGGGTGCTGGAGCAGCCATGTGGAGACCCCTGCCAGCGCTGAGATGCTTACACGTTCACTGACTCAGCTTTCCTCCAGCAGTCGGCATCATTGCCTCTGTTTTGTGAGGTGGAGGACTTTGTGGACTGGTGTTGGGTTAATGGGTTAATGTTGGACTTGTGGGTTTGGGCAGCATTGGGTTGGGATGTTTTCGTGATGCACATTTTCTTTACATAAAACTCTCTCTTATACATGAGTTGCTGTGGATTTGTTTCTCCTAAGTACCAAGACTAATACAATATCCAAAGTCTGCCTCCAAGACTTATGTTTTTAAGTACTGGACTAGTGTCGAAACTTTGCATGGGTTTCTAGTACATTTGTTAGCCAGAGATATTTTCCAAACTGTTACATGATGCACATTAATGGTAAATATGAGAGGGTTTCAAAAAGTCTGTGGGAAAGTGCAATTAAAAGTTTATGGAAATTTCCCACAAACTCTTTGAAGCCCCCTTCTATTACATTATATCACCCAGTGTAGGTACTTTGGGGGACGGCAAGGAAGGGGTGTAAGAGATTCTGGGAGGAGAAAGCCCCAGAGGTAGAAGAATAGAGAGGCTGTAAGGAGTAGAGGGATAACCAGAACTGAGAAGTACGGGGCAGGAAGTGTACATAATCTAGTTGTCTAATTCCCTGCAAGAGAAAGGAGGAGGTAGGGTGATTCTGAGATTGACTGAACCATAGTGTCTTCTCCAGAGGACGCCAAAGCTACCAGGGCAACCCACATGTTCACACCCACCCTTGACCTTGGACATGTCTTGTCTGTTGTATGAGCACCAAAATGATTAATCAATATTGCAACTATCTGAGATGAAGATTGAAGCAATTTAAGAGCACACATGATTTCCTGAGGTATAGGAGCCATGCTGGTGTAGTGACTTACGAATTAGCTGCTAACTGCAAGGCCAGCAGTTTGAAACTACTGACTTCTCCACAGGAGCAAGGTGAGGCTTCCCACTCCTGTAAAGATTTACAGTCTCGGGAGCCCTCAGGGCAGTTCTATGAGTTAGGATTGGCTTGACGGCAGTGAGTTTGAGTTTTTTGAGTTGGTGGCATAGTGGGTTCCTCACTGGGCTGCTGACCACAAGTTCAGCAGTTTGAATCCCCCATCCACTCCAAGGGAGAAAGATGAGGCTTTCTAGTCTAGTAAGATTTACAGCCTCGAAAACCCACAGGGGCAGTTCTGCTCTGTCCTAGAGGATCACTGTGAGTTGGAAAAGACTGGATGGGGCAGTTTAGTTCGGGGGTCCTCCTGTGATTCCATTTGAACCATTGATTTTGGTAAAATAACATTCAAATATATGGGGTAAAACAGATCATATCAAGACCAGTTAAGTTATAGGGCTACTTATCAGCTAACAGCTCTATTGAGTGTTTTAAAATGGATGAAAGTTATTTGTGGGGCTGTATTCCACGTTAATTTTTCATATCAGAGAACACTCTTATTTCCCCCACCCATGAAGTAGTGGTATCTTCCTAACTATTCAGTCTTTGATTTGATTTGATTTTTTTTTTAAGTAGCAGGAGTAATTTCTTTAGCTGAGATGTAAACACAATGGTTGGGGGCAGTGGGGTGACCTATATTGTGTTTGCAGCTGTAATTTGGATCTCTGAGCAATGTTTTATCCTTTCACTGGAAAAGAAAAGAAGGCAGTAGACAGTAGCTGGACTATTCCTTCGGCCCTTGCTGAGATCATGGGTTACATCAGGCAGAGAGGCTCAAGGGGCTGGCAATGGCTGAGCCTTTCATCTCTTGGTGGTAAATCTGAACCTGCCTTCCAGCCCCCAGAAAGGGACAGCGATACCATAGAATGGTGTCCCATAGACTATTTGATCTGTCCCTGTGAGTTCGTGCAGATATAAGCCGATAGAAAAGATGCCTGGGATGTAAAGATGGCCTATTTTGCTGACTTCTAATTGATTCCATATTCTAGGGCATTCACTTGGGGATCAGGAAACAAATACATCGAAACTAGCATTCTCTCATCTCAGCATGGAAGAAATGGGGGGCAGGTACCTAGTAGGGAAGGTAAGCACCTTGGTACCAATAAACCACATCTAAAGGGGATTTTTTTTCCCAAAAGATAGTAGTTCTCTAGTTATACGGTCAACTTCATTGAAGAAAGAGATGGTAATAATAGCTAACCTCTCCCTGAGCATTTACTAATGTCCAGCAGTGTTCTAGGCCCTCTCATAGACCCCTCATGAAAACCAGGTAAGATTAGGCACTGTTCTCATCCGTGTTTAAGAACTGAAAAACCCGAGGATACTCGAGTATAAGCCGACCCGATTATCAGACGAGGCATCTAATTTTGCCACAAAAACTGCATTAAAAATGTGGTGAAAAACTCGGCTTATCCACAAGTATATACGGTAACTTGTTGAAAATTACACAGGATTGGAACCCAAGCAGTCAGGCCCATTCATCATTCTGTCATATCTAAAGAAAATATCACACTTAGAAATAGAGGCAGATAAAACATGACTGGGGAGGTGGGCAGCATAGCAATACTTGGGCAGAATCGAAGGCAAGAAGTTGTTAGGCAACCCTCATGGGCATCAGACTGATATATGATGTGGCCAAGGTCACTAGCAAATGGCAAGACTGGGAGACAAAAATGTATGGCTTTACTATTCTGCCTGTTTGGAAGAAATGCTAGAAATAAGTGTGTGCCTACATTTATGGCAGCCAACAAAATCTATGTTCCACATTATCGAAGCGTGTCTGACAGTCAGCAGTTTCCAAAACAAGGTGAGAGGAATGCTGGCACTGATAGCGAGGATTGTGTCAGTTTCACTGGGTCATGCTTCTTCGTGGGTTGGCAGCTACCGTATGATATAATTTGGCAATGGTACGATGATGTACTCGTCCTCCATTTTGTGCTCTGATATGGTCATCCTTCATGTTTGCCAAATCTAAAACCAAACCCACTGCCATCGAATCAATGCTGACTTGTAGAGCTGCTGGTGGTTTTGAACTTCCAACCATGTGATCGCAGCCCAATGCAGAACCACTACCCCACCAGGGCCCCTGCTCATGTTTGAAGAATGCCGATTTTCACATAACAGCCTGGTCTTTGGAACCGAGCCATTATTGAACATGTCAATAAGTAAGGACTGGTGTATATATATATATTCAGTAAGAACTGGTATATATATATATATTCAGCTATTTCACATCACATAGCATTTACTTGGGGGATAGACTACATACACACAATTGATTTAGTTCTATTAAAGGTAGATTTAAATGTCGGTGCTTATAATTTTGTTTGTTTTTTAATTAAAAGATCATTTTATTGGGGGCTCTTACAGCTCTTATAACAATCCATACATGAATTGTATCAAGCACATTTTCTATATGTTGCCGTCATTATTTTCTAAACATTTACTTTCTATTGAGCCCTTGGTGAACTGGTCTATTTTTAACTTGACCTTTTCAACAATCTTGGACATTGTATCCTCATTTTGAATAGCCTCACTTCCCTTCACCCTGTCCTTCAAGATATAGCCCAGGCCTCTCCCAGTTCACATGTTGTCTTCAACCCATCAATCTACAGTGTTCGTGTCTTTCTCTGTCAATCCTTTGTACTTAAACCATTAACCAGGCAATTGATCTTTTGCTTTGTTTATAACTTATATTACACTCTCCTCTTCTCTCTCTCCTTTTTATTTAACTCGTATATGCCTCTTTAGTTCTACAAATTGTTCAGAATAAAGCTTATATGTTAAACCCCTCCCCATGTGCTAAGACCCAACTGTTAGCTAGTCAGAGGCTGGCAAGGGGAGAAGAGGTGATGATGACAGGATTCTGGCAGAAATTTTAACACAAAGGAGAGGTGACAGGTAACACAACCGTGAGTATTTGTTAAGTTTTCTTGACTGAATGAAAAACAACTTCACTTTGTAACATTTTTATAAGCAATCAAGTATTATAAAGTGTAATTTGCCATATGGGATGGATAAATATAGGCTGTCATTGTATGAGTGTTTCCCAAAGGGACTCCAACATCAGAAACCCCAGGGTTCCTGGTCCCGGAGGATACAGTAGACCCAGGAATCTGAGTGCATCCCTGATGTCTTTTCTGCCCACTAAAGCTTGAAAACCACAATTTAAAAGTTTCGATCATTTACACCCTTGAAAACCACAGCATGAATGCCCGCCTAGCTCCCGTGCACTTCATTCAGGTCAATAGACCCACTGTGGAAACGTCCTTAATAACGTACTGATGAGGACTTGTGGCCTGTTGTTGTTGCAGATTTCTAACTAGCAGAATGCTGGAGCAGGAGCGTGGAGCCTGCACTGTTCAGAATGGCCGAGCTGGACACCGATTTGGACCACGTCATTCCATCTTCTGTTCTTCCTCCCATCTGGGCTAAGTTAGTCGTAGGATTCGTTTCCCTCCTGTGTTTTGCCCGCAGCTATGATGGGGATTTTGTCTTTGATGACTCTGAAGCTATTGTGAACAATAAGGTTTGTATCTTTATACCTTTTCTGGTAAACTTCTATAACCACGTGCCTGTTGCCATTGAGACGGTTCTAAGTCCTGGTGATCCCGCAGTGACAGGGCAGAACCGTTCCAGAGGGCTTCCAAGGTGGTGGCTTTCTGAAAGTCTATAACCACCAGGGCTAGCTTCCATGACACTTCTGGGTGGATTTGAACCACCGATCTTTCAGTTTAGTCAAATGCTTACCTGTTGGAACCACGCAGGTAGCCATTAACCTCTTGCCTACATCTCAGTGATCATCTAAGTTTGTTGGAATCATTTCTAGTAAATTAACCATTGGGGTGGGCCCTCTCTGTATTCCAAGGCTGCCATCTCTCGTAGATACTGTCTTGATTTAGAGCCTCTTGGGCTGCTAACCACAAGGTCAGCAGTTTGAAACCACCAGCTGCTCCATGGAAGAAAGATGAGGTTTTCTACTACCAAGAAGAGTTATGTCTTGGAAACTCACCGGGGCAGTTCTACCCTGCTCTATAGGGGCCATGAGTTAGAATTGACTCGATGACAGAATTTTTTTTATTTAATTGCTGGCATCAGGAGCTCCAGCCACTGCCCCAGCTCGGGCCTAACCTCATTAGGTGTTCTCCATGCGGCCCCAGTCGGCACACACTTCTAGGATGCCAGGGCAAGGGCTAGAGCACCGCAGACTCAGTAATTCCGGTTTGAGGAAGATTTCTTAGAACTCCCAGTCCAGAACTATTAAAAACAGAAAAGTCGGGCCTGTGCTGCAGTGATGGGTGAGCTGATCACCCGTGGAAAAGGTGAATTCTCTGCAGCAGGCAGCGGCTGGCTGCTGCTTTGTCCTTTGGCGGGAATGTCAGGACAGCCTGCTGGCAGCAGCCGTGGGAAAGGTGGTGTGCACGCCCCAAGGGCAGAGTGCCTGCTCGCTTCTGGCCTGGGGATGCAGACTCGCTGACTTTACAGACCCCACTCGGCTTGGCTCACCGGTGGATGCTGTGTCAGTGCAGGGGGAGCATTCTTCTTTTTGACTTGCTCACTAGAATGAGGTTTGTCCAAAAGGAAGGAAAAGAATCAAGGGAGCTATGAGAAAATCGGAACCAGAAATTGGGTGCGGGCGGGGTTGAGGTTGGAGCGCCGTGAGACCCTCACATCTCGAAGCCCTCCTGATATTCTTGTGAGTCCGTAACCCATGAAGAGGACTTGAAGGAACAGGTTGACCTTATACTTTTGTAGCTGCCGCTATAACAACAATTAGTAACACTGTGGATGGGCCACTCAGAAATAAAAAGTGCCAAGTTGTGGATTTTTCTCTGTGAGAAAAAAGTCATTTTCGTATTGCTCTGTTAGGGAAAACTGTCTATGGAACAATAGTGTATGGGGGGCAGGGGGATGTTTTGCAGAAATTCATTTGTAGCAATCTCATAATTGATCTTTTTGATAGCCCAAACTGCACAGAGCATTGTTGGTACTGTTTCTCGTTCACACGCTTCACTGGTAGTTTTCCTGAAGCTCACTACTACAAATACTTCTGTTCCAGTTTTTATTTTAATCACGCCTGAAAGAAAAAAAGTCACCTTGTAGCTCTAAGCCCCAAATCAAAACACCCACTGCCACATCGTTGTTGACTCAGAGGACCCTGTGGGAAGGAGTGGAAGCACCCCACAGGGTCTCCAAGCTATAGTCCCCTCGGAAGCAGTCCGTCCCTCTCCTGTGGAGCGACCAGGAGATTTGAACTGCCAACCTTTGGGGGTAGAATCTGAGCACTTTTACCACCTCACCACTAGCTCCTTGTAGTTCTAAGCAACTACATCAGATGGGTTGTTTAATATCCACAGAATTGCTTTTTAAACAAGAATGTAGTATTCTTTATCTATCTGTGTGTGTGTATATATATATGTAGACACAATTTTATTAAGCATTTTTACATAAAGTAGAAGCTAGATAAAGTGCTAACTTAGAATTTACATTTTAGACAAAACCCTTTGGTCAGCAAGACAGGAAACAAACTTGAGGCCTGTCTGCGTGGGTCGCCCTGGCGGATGGGTGTGAATCTGGTTCTGTGTGAATTCGGGCGGAGGATGGCGTTTTGTGGTCTTCTGAGCACTGTCTTGGCAGTGTTTTCTGGAACATCACACTGTGCCCCTTTTGTTAGCTTGCTCGCCCTCCCTCTTCCTGTCCTGTTTCCTCAGAGGCCCCCTTCCATCCGCAGGCGCGGTGCCTGCAGTCTTGAGAGACGGGCTGTTCCTGGGGTGTTAAGGACTGTTTTCCAGATGCTGCCTTGTCGTGTTGAGTTGCCTTCTGTTCGTGGAGATGATGACTGGCTTTGAGACCGTTGAGTTAGCCTGACTTCCAAATACGCTCCGTCTTCTCAATCAGTCATCATGAGGGGAAAACGGACCGTGCCTCAGCAACCCTGCCCTGCTGTGTGTACGCTAACCCTCATCAAATATTTAGAGTGTCGTTGGTGTTCAGTGTCTGCTCTCAGGGAAGGAAAGATCCTCTTCCCGGCCCCCCATCATGACGGCACAGGTCCTTGGTGACGGTACAGAAGAACTCTGGATTTTGTACCTGAGAACACTAGCGGAGGGGGGTGGATTGCATGGCCAGGGCAGAATAGCTGACCAGCTCCGCAGGGGTTCCTTCTGCTCAAGGCTCAAGAACCAGTACTCAATGGAAGGGAAATGAGCCCACCCAAGCAGGTGTCTGGAGACAAATTTGCAAGGTGCCCTATTCTCAAACCCTTCCCTTTGGTTCCATGAGCACTTAAATCACAAGTCCTTAATGTGTGCACATAGATTGCTCTGTGAGACCCTGGGGGTGCTGTCAGGTAACCACAAGGTCAGTGGTTCAAATCCACCCGCCACTCCACAGGAGTAAGTTGAGACTTTTTGCACCTGGAAAGATGTTCAGTCTCGGAAACTGTATACAGGGTGGTGATGTATTGGAATCCGCTTGACGGCAGTAGGTTTAGCTATTTGGACTTGTGCCACCCATTATTGGACGTGCACACTTCTTCTGTCTGGGGCATTCTCAAGCTGGCAAGGCCATCCATCAAGGATACAAGCCTGGCTGTAGACCCTCCCTGCAGACTCCCTGGCCTCATTGTTGGAGTCAGGAGCTAGGTGTGCAAATAGCTGAAGGCCCTGAGATGGATGGTAGCTCGTTCAAGAAGTCCGGTGGTTTACCCTTGCCTGCATATCTCTGACACTGGTGTTCCAGTGTGACAAACTGCAAGACCAGAGGCGGGCGCTCTGTGCAGAGCGGGGAAACAAACCACACATGTTATTGCTTCTGTTCCTCTGAAAACAGAGATCTGGGTGGACATGGCTTTATTGGGTCTTTCTGATCATCAGTTTCATGAGTGTGTTTTTCTTTTAAAGTCACTATATGCATCTAATCCCCTGGCCTTTATTTATACATATTATAGCTTCTGTCTCTGTAACACATTTTAAGGCATGTAATCCACATAGCATACCATTCGGTAGTTCAGTCGTATTAAGGAGAGGCATGCAATCATCGCCACAGTCCATTTTAAAACGCTTTCTTCTTGCTTGTATCCACTGTTATTAGCACCCCATTTCCTTGCCCACCTCCCCTGCCCTGCCCCCCAGGAAACCTTCAATCCAGTACTGTCTCAACAGATTTCCCCAGCCTGGATTTCACTGCATGCTAGATCTTCGTCATGATAAACTCTATTTTGAGAAAGAGGGTTTTCATATACCCATAACATATGGTAAACATCTGCTCTTCACATTTTTCAGGTTAGGTAATCTCATCCAAGAAGTTCACAAGTAGTGTACCTGTGGTTGGAATCTAGAATTCGATTGATTGATTGATTGATTGATTTTGCTCAATTCCACCCAGCCTTCTTTGCAATCCTCTTTTAATTTAGGTTCTCCACCTAGTTACCTTTGGGTCCAGCGAGTTGTGATTTGTGTTTCCATGTGAAAGAAAAGGCAATGCCAACGGATTTAGGAAAGCATCTATTGGGTGCAGAGCACCAACGAGGTGCGCAGACTACAGGTCGGAAACACGACAGGAAGAGACCTTTCCTTCAGAGAACATACTGTCTAGAGCAGGGGTCCTCAAACTTTAAACAGGGGGCCAGTTCACTGTCCCTCAGACCCATTGGAGGGTCAGACTATAGTTTAAAAAAAAAACTATGAACAAATTCCTATGCATACTGCACATATCTTATTTTGAAGTAAAAAAACAAACAGGGCAAAAACACCCGGCGGGCTGGATAAATGTCCTCGGCGGGCCACATGTCGTCCATGGGCCATAGTTTGAGAGCGCTTGGTCTAGAGGACCAAGACAGACAGTACACAAAGGATTTAGATCTTTATGGGCTGTGTGATAAGCACTGGATGTTTGCAGAGAGTCTGACTAACTTAGGGTGTGGCTAGATTCAGGACTGGGACAAAGTCAGGGGCCCATTTTCTCTTGGTCCCCTGGCTCTGCCTTCCACTCTGTTGGCTACTTTCTCAGGTCCCAGTGGAGCCCCTAGCAGGGCCAGGCTCACATCCTTACAGCACTAAATTTAGCAGACGTGAGCATCTGCTGAATGTTCTGGAATTGGTCTTCATTGATCCTCCTTGACCTGTCTTGGACCATGCTCATCTCTGAACCAGGGACCGGGACAAAAGATGAGAGGGCCCCAGTCAGACTGACCATAGTCACACACGTTCCATTCCTGACTGGAGGTGTGGACTTCCCTTCGCCAGAGCCTCGTGAATTAATAGTGAACAAGAATGAGCTCTGGACAAAATTCCTGGGGCGCTGCCATCACCAGATGACGAGCAAGCAGCCTGATGTGAAAGGTGCAGATCCAGTATGAAAAGCAAGATTAGAATGATCATAATTAAAGCTATCCCAGACCTCTGTACCTTCAGGACATTACGTATTTGTCCTTAAGGAACAAATATTGTTTTCATTGGCTGGTATATGCTTGGGGCAGATCAGAGCAAAGTAAACGTGCCTTAAATGGTAAAGAAATATGTGGTTTCACAAGATGAGTAGCCCAGAGAGAGAACGTCCCTGGATTGGAGCCTCGGGCCAGCAGTGCCATCAGGGTCCAGGCTGGTGGCATGATTTCGCTCAGGTATGTCCATCATATGGTGGTATGATGGTTAGTTATGCGTTGGGCTGCTAACCAGACCATCAGCAATTCAAAACCACCAGGGGCTCCCAGGGTGAAAAGCAAGCTTTTTACTCCCGTGAAGAGTTACAGTCTCAGAAACCTACAGGAGCAGTTCTACTCTGCCTCACAGGGTGGATATGAGTCAGAACCGGCTCGATGGCAGGGAGAGTTTGGAGATGTGTGTCCCCGTGTTCATAAGAGGCTTGTCACCATTTAGACATCACATCCAGACGTGGCCGTGCACAGCCGGAGGAAAGGGATGTTTTGTGCATTGCTCATTATTATGAAGCAGAACCCCTCGTGGGACCCAGTGGGCAGTGTGAGCTCACTTGTATTTCAAGGAAGGTTGTATTACAAAAAGTACGCGTGTTTCTGCTGACTGCTAAGGCAGGTGGGTGTCCGTGGCGGAAGTTGGAGCAGTAATTGCAGGCAGCCACCAACAGCTGTCTTAGCTCATGTTCTTTTTCCAGAGTAGATTAATTTCTCTATTCATGATTTGTGGCCTGTAACTTACAGTTAAGTAGCTTTCCTGGCAAAACTCTTCCATTTTTCCCAATGTCATTTCTTGTCTTGGTTCTAGCTCTCAGAGTTATTCATTGCTATTCAAAGTAATTCAACGAAATTACTACTCAACGTGATTTCTCTTCCCTCCACCCTAGTTTCATGAAAAAAAAGGAAAAGTTAAGACCCAAACTGCACGAGATCTTAAGAACTCCCGTCACTAGGGACAAAGCTACTTTTGCATGTGTGCTTTTGTGGGAGTACACGTGGCTCTCCTGCCACATGGGGCTCGTGTGGACAGGGAAACATTTGCAGTGTTCATGTGTAGGAGCCAGAAGGATACAAAACACATAAATGTGAACATAAAGTCAAGAAATTCATTTCCAGAAAACATGAATGGGCCTGTGATTGGAGTGAGAGAAAGAACAGCTTGCAACAGATTGTACGCAGCAAACCCTCTGCGCATGGAGATGGATGTAAGGCAGGGCTTGCGTATGCAGGCGCTCTTCAGTGTGACTTGCTGTTAGGATGGGCCCAAGCAGGGCCAGGGAGGGAAGATTGGAGCTCTGCTCCTCTCTGGCTCAATTGGATTCTTCCCAGGGCCAGTGGGGAAGCCCATGGATAGGGTCTGCAGTGAGTCCCAGAGGGGGCGCTGTTGTTTGGTTGTTATGTGTTCTCCAGTCAATTCTAACTTACAGTGAGCTTATAGGTGAGCAGAACACCCCATAGGGTTTTCAAGTCCGTAATCTTTACCAGAGTAGATTGCCAGATCTCTTCTTCCACGGAGCTGCTGGTGGGTTTGAACCTGGAGCTTTCAATTAGTAGCTGAGTATTTGTGCCACCAGGGGTCCTCAAAGGGGCATTAAAAGAAAGACAACCCCACGGCCGTCGAGTCTATTCTGGCTCATAGTGACTGTCTACTGGGTTTCTGAGGCTGCAAACCTTTACAGCAGCAGAGAGTTTCATATTTCTACCTCAGAGCACCCGGTGGGCTTGAACCACTAACCCTGTGATGCCAAACTCCAAGCTCACTGCCATCAAGTTGATTCCAACTCATAGCAATGCTGTAGGACAAGGTCCAGCTTCCCATTTGGATCTCCAAGACTTAAAATCTTTACAGAAGTAGACAGCCTTATCTTTCTCCTGCAGACCAGCTAGCGGGTTTGAACCTTCCACCTTGTGGTTACCAGCTCCATGTGTAATCCACTAGGCACCAGAACTCCTTAACCTGGCAGTTCGCAGTCTTATGCTTGCCCACCAGCACCACCCGAGCTCCTTGGAAGAGCATTTAGCCTTGGTTGTTTCTTTTCCTATAAGGAAATAGCGTGTCTACGGCTTAAGGATCTTGGCTGTCTCCTTGCCTCATTTTTCTTTGTCCAGAATGTCTTCTGTTCCTGCAGGATCTCCAAGCAGCAACGCCCCTTGGTGACCTATGGCACCATGACTTCTGGGGCAGTAAGCTGAGCAGCAACACCAGCCACAAGTCCTACCGACCTCTCACCGTCCTGACTTTCAGGTGAGACATAAGCGAAGGCTGCCCCAAGACGGACTGAAAGGCCAATGGCTATTGAATCAGTTCTGACCATGGCGACCCAGGCATGTCAGAGGAGAACTGTGCTCCGAGGGCTTTCAGTGGCTGACTTGTCTTAAATTGATCAGCAATTGATCTCCTCCTCTCTGGAGGAGACTCGGTCGATTTGAACCTCTAACCTTTGGCTGTTCATAGATGAAAAGGTTTCCACGGTTGGCGGTGCACACCAGTTTTTCCTATTGGAATTACAACCTACCCGTATGGACATCTCTTCCAAGTAGTCCAGCTGTTAGAAAGTAAGTCACTGCAATATTGAGAGAAAAGCACCTCTCGTGGTACAGTGGTTACCTGCACAGCTGCTCACCGAAAGGTGGAGGTTGGAACCCACCAGCCACTCCATGTGAGAAGTCTGCTGCCTAAAGGTGACAGCCTCGGACACCCTCGGAGCCAGTTCGACCCTGTCCTACAGGTCGCTATGAGTTAGAGTCGACTCCACAGCAAGGGGATTAAAATAGAATGTGCATGCAGAAAATTCGCTTGAATTAGCCACTTTTTTCCAACCAATATGCAAGGCTCAAAGGAAGCCGACAGCCACCACCACCCTCCTATTAGTCCGGGACCTGTTTGCATCCAGTAAGTTTATTCGCCCGTGACAGTCCCCCGTTCATAATCAATTAGGTGGGGGCTTCAAGAAATCTGTGGAAAGAGGAGATGAAGAGATAATGGACTTGCCCACCACCATTTTGAAGCTGTCTCGAGCACCCCGTCTGTTTTGGACATCTGAGTGTAGCTCTCCCAGAGCAACGTGGCAGGGAAGCGTTGGAGCCATGGGCAATGGAGAAGCAGTCGGAACAAGGCGCCCTGGCCATGGGCAGTTGCTCCGCCGCTTTAGCTACTTGATGCCTGTAAACGAGCCCTCTCCATCTCTCGATGCTGGCTATGCAAGTGCCACAGCTGCCCGAGCTCCGGGTCTGTATGGGCAGCTACGAGTAGTGCTGTCCTTGGAATGCAGTTTTGTCCTCCTCCCCACCTTGGTTTTTGACACTTCACAATTGTCTCGCTTCCCCCTCCCTAAGGATTGTCTGTCATACCCCCTTGAGATGCCCTTTTCCCCACCTGGTTAATTATGCTCATACCTTTTCTTTGCCCCTCTTAGTGGGACAGGCGTTATTTATCTTGATACTTTGTCTACAAAGTAGACTTGAGCCCCAGTCTTTATTCTCCCCTTTCAAGGCTTGTGCTCACAACCCCTTTCCTTCCCATTATGCGCATGCCTGCCTTGTGGCCCTGTGTGTCTAATGGGGGCACCCTTTGCTTACTACAGAATGAACTACTATTGGTCGGGAGGCTTCCACCCCATGGGTTTCCACGTGGTCAACCTCCTCCTGCACAGCGGCATCTCGGTGCTCCTGGTGGACGTCTTCTCCGTGCTGTTGGGTGGCCTGCAGTACACCAGCAAGGGGCGGAGGCTGAACTTGGCCCCGCGAGCATCCCTGCTAGCGGCACTGCTGTTCTCCGTGCATCCGGTGCACACAGAGTGCGTGAGTATCGTCTGCCCGCCCGGGCGTCTGCGTGCGTGCGCGGGGAAATGAGAACATGTCCGTATGCTGCCTGGCTCCCCGAAACCAAGCTTCCTTGACAGACTTGTCTTGCCCAAGGGTTGTAGAAAATACCGTATTTTCTCACACAGACACTCGGACACTCAAAGCCAGCCTCACTGCCATCGAGTCGATTCCAGTTGATCACGACCCTACAGGACAGGGTAGAACTGCCCTTATGGGTTTCTGAGGCTGTAAATCTTTACAGGAGAAAAAGCTTCTTCTTTCTCCCACAGAGCGGCTGGTGGTGGTTAGCAGTCCAACACATAACCCACAGCACCACCAGAGCTCCTGCAATGCCCACGTAAATAGTACGTATACCCCTACAGCACACACAGAGCACATAGGATGCTAATGTGCTAGGGAGGTTCGTCACATGCATGTAGCTTGGGTCAAAAATCTCCTGGAGCAAAGCAGTGTGCCCTGTATGTGCCGACTTTGTGCCCATGACGGCCTGGGGTGCGCTGTTGAGGGCACTGAGCGTCCTGCTCCTGTTCCTGTGATGTGCTGTGTCGAGTTGGCTCCGACTCAGCCCCCCTATGTACATCAAGTGCACGCCACCCGGTCCTGTGCCGGCCTCATGATTCTTCTGATGTTGGAACCCATTGTCGCAGCCATGGGGTCAGTCCATGTCTTTGATGGCCTCCCTCTTTTCACTGCCCCCTTCCTTTACCCAGCATGATGTCCTTCTCCCGGGATTTGTTTCCCCTGACCGCAGGTCCAAGGTACATGAGATGAAGTCTCGCCATCCTTGCCTCCCAGCTGCATCATTCCATTGTCGTCAGTTGAGAAGGCGGCTCTTCCTTGGTCGTATTTTGATGACCTGAGAGGCTCATCTTCTGGCGCTCTCTCTGACAGTGCTCTGGTTCTCTGCATAAAGTTTTCCGTAACTGAAAAGGTTTTGATGTTCTACTTTTAGTGATACTTCCTCTGACGTGGACATCCTACACCTTCTTCATAATCTGTTCTTAGTCTGTACGCCCTGTGGAAACCTGTTCACTCTGGGTGACCCTGCTGGTATTTGAAATACCAGTGCCAGAGCCTACCGTATCATAGCAACACAAGCCACCTCAGTAGGCCAAACGGACCGGCAACTGGTGGCTTCATTGTTACCATCCTCAGTTTCCAGCCAGTGCACCTCATGTGCAGCTACCAGCCATCTCTCAGTGGAATTGGCATGTCACCCAATGCTGGACAGGTTTCAGCAGGGCTTGCAGACTAAGAAAGACTAGGAAGAAAGGCCTGGAGATCTACTGCTGAATATCAGCCAGTGAAGACCCTACGGATCACAACAGTTTAATCTACACTATTTATGGGAGTGGCACAAGACCCGCATTTTGTTGTGCTGAGCATGGGGATCACCAGGAGTCTGGGCCTGACTTGCTGGCAGGTAGCAACAACATGGCTGGCTCTCACTGTACAGCTTGTAAGGCTACACTGCTACATTCACACATAAGGTGTGGCTGCTGAATATTTCCTGGCTTAGGGGTCCCAGGATCACAGGCAAAGAATCTTCTCTCACTAATGGCTGGATACAATCTTGCTATGTTAGCTGAGAGATTTCTACGTTACATGATGCTTGTTCATACTTACTTGTCACCAAAACTCTGTGAGACCAGATAGCAAGTAGGACAGTTTCCGTTTCACAGGTGCAGAAGTGGCCTGAGGAGGCAAGTAGGAATCCATGTGAGGCTAGCCACATAGCTAGGGTGTGCAGGGGCCAGAGCTCACATGAAACCTCTCCCGGAGGCTGCTGACATACTTCCAGTTGAACCCCACAGAGGGTCCCTATGCCCCCTCTACCTTTCCCCTCCTCTTCATCCTCTCTGCCTGCATGGCAGGCCCCCCCTCGTGAGCCTGGAGTGCAGACGTTAGGACCTTCTTCCTCTTGGTAGACTTGGTAGATCTGGGCAGCTCCTGACAGATGCCTAACCTGTTCTGCACACCACATCTGTATCCGTGGAGCTGGTGCAAACTATGCTAGGATTTCCCTAGATTTTTGTAGAATTTTCTACAACCACCTCACCCGTACACTGTGTAACCCTTTGAAAATGTCAGTCACCATGTTGGCTGAAGTAAAAGACCTGATTTTGGTCATCCATTCTGTGAGCTGTATTTTCTTCCTTCCCTTCCAATACAGACTGCTGCCTTTAATATGCCTTTAAATTCCTACATTGTGTTGTCTTCATTCGTGTTCTCTGTTTTACCTCTCTGGGTTCTAATATGCATTGCTAGGCTGCATAGCGCTCACAGACACTATTCATGATTAAAGGGTTTCTTGAGGAAGCTAGCCAGTTGTAATGCTGGTGAGAAAGGCTCAGGATAGAGTTATTGATCAGGATTTGTCACAAAGTTCTGTACAAGGTTTTGCTTAGCAGAAAATTCAGAGGAGTTAAGAGGCTTGGCAGGCTGGAAACTTGTGGTAAAAAGTGAGTTGGGAGCTATTTATTTCTATATAACTGAACAAATTAGACTATGTCAGTGTGAATTCTCCCTGTGTATGGGCTGTGAGCATTGATGATCCATGTGAGAATTCCCAAGAAAAGGACTGACTTGGAGTTTGGAGCCTGCGTTAGGCCAGGTTGTCTAGAGAAACAAATCCAGTGATGCTTATATATTGCATAAGAAAGAGCTTTATAGCAAGAAGAAATTCTGTATCATGGAGACCTCCCAGCCCAGACCAACGGAAGTCCTGAATAACCCAATGGGAGTCCATAAGCCCTCCTTCAGACTCACGGAGAAGCAGGAAGGGCACAGGCCAGTGAGTGCAGTCGCTGGCTCCAAAGGCATTGAGAACATGGCAGGGTGCCTGCAGTACTCAGGGTCCAGGAAGGTGAAGGAGCAGAGAGAGGAGGTTCCCAGCACATTACCACCACCACCACCCCACCACATACACACACACCGCCCCAGCTTACAAGGGGCCATCATCAGGCTGTGACCTGATTGACAGATTGTCTGACATAAAGTCATCTAAATACACAGATCCTTGTCTAGTTTAATGTGACCTTACAGGCAAAATGAAAGGTTTGAATGGTTAACCAAAATAAATTTTCTGAAATTCTGAAAAGTGAATTTATTTTAAAAAAAGGCTTCACGTATGTGATTATATGTATGTGCTTACATATAATCGCCCACGCCCACCCCCAGATAAATGCCACCTGGGCACATGTTCATCCCAGAATTGGGTTCTATATATTTATCAAGCTTTTTATGGTGAATTGGGTGAAGGTTCACAGAGCGAATTCGTTTTCCAGTCTGCCATTCCTGCGTGTTCTGTGTCATAGTTCAGTCCGTGCAGTGTCCGATCCCTGAGCCCACTTCTTGCTTATGTTGCCGTTTCCATTTCAAGGACGCCTCCTTTCCTGCCCCTTCCCTGCTTCTGAACTTTGTGCTCCAGCCAAGCCGCCCTTCTGGTTGTTCCATGGATGTAAAGGGGAGCCCAGGGGTGAAGAGCAGGGACTATTTTCAAATCTTATTGTCTTACCCCTACCCCCCCCCTGAAATCTACTCCAACCCAAATGGCAGGAAATATTGTAGGTAAATAAAACCTAGCATTCCTAAGACTAAGATAGTTTTATGTTTGCCTTTCATTGTTCTGGCAAATAGTATTCCATTTCCTCTTATCTGCAACCTCATTATCTCCTACTCTCTTTTTAACCCAGTTTTTAAAATATACCCCCAACTGGGGTACCCAAGAGGACGGTCATGTCTCTTCTAGTTAGACAGCCTTGGGTTCCAGGCTGTTGGGGGGCCTGCAGCTTGGCTAGCCGCCCGCCCTCCAGCGCAGCAGGGCCAGCCTGGGCATTGCTCTGTCCTAGGCAGAGGGCAATGGAAAGTGGAAGCAAATGGGAAAGTAGTGGCATTAGGAAGCCACTTCCAGTTTGGTCCAGCCAGGTTTTATTAACATAAATTTCTTTCACTTTATGTTAGCATTTTTGTGTGTGTTTGGGGTCCTTTTAACTCCTCAATATTAATGCTGAAACTATTTCTGTCAATTTTAAATAAAGGGAGCCCTGATAGTGTAATGGGTTATGTATTGTGCTAGTAACTGTAAGGTCAGCAGTTCGAAACCATCAGCTACCCCATGTGAGAAAGGTGAGGCTTTCTACTTCCATAAAGAGTCAAAGTCTTAGAAACCCACAGGGGCAGTTCTATGCTGTCCAATAGGATCCCTATATGCCCACTACCATCCATTCCAACTCATAGTGACCCTACAGGACAGAATAGAACTGTTGCTTAAAGTTTCTCAGACTACTTATTTACTGGAGCAGACAGCCTCATCTGTAGCTGGTGGGTTAAAACTGCTGATGTTGCCGTTTCTAGCCCAACACACAGTCCCCAGTACCACCAGTGGACCTCCATTAAGATATAAGAACCACTGCCATTGAGTTGATTCTGATTCATACTAAACCTTTAGGACAGAATAGAGCTGCCCCTTTGGGTTTCCAAGGCTGTAAACATTTAAAGGAATAGGCAGCCCAACGTGTAACCCAATATGCCACTAGGATTCTTTTTTCATTAATGTGTAGAGGTTAGGACTTAGAGCACACACTCTCTTTTCTATAGGGCCCAGAGATTCCTTTCCATCCTCAGCTACTTTGGCTATAGCTTTACATCGCCCTGTCTCTCCTTCTCTCACCCCACAAGGCCCCAGCCCAGGCTAATCAGCGATCCCTCCTCACTCTGCACAGCGCTGTGGAGACATGCAGTGCCTCCCCCTGTTCTGTTCTGCTCCCCAGATGTATGGAAGGAACTCTTTGGGTAGCACCTACTGTGCCAGGCTCATTTCTGTTTGTTTGTTGTTGTTCTTTAAGCTGTGACTGGTGGTAACCCCGTGTATGTCAAAGCATAACCGTGCCCCACAGGGCTTTCCTTGGAAATAGATCCCCAGACTTTCTTTCCAAGGTGCACTCATCTGCATGGACTCAAACCTTCGCTCTTTCCATAAGCAGCCAGGTGTGTTTGCATCGCCCCGTGAGTTCCTTTCTGTCTAGCTCTATGAATGCAATGTCTGCTAATTCAGGGAGTTTATATCCCTGCACATTCAGGAGCTCTTATTACATATTCATTCCATTCACAAAGTAATTGTACGGTTTACCTCTCCAGCACTCAGTCTGTGGAAACTTCGTGTTGGTCTTAGCTTCCTTCCCAGGAGCTTTTTATGGATGTGATGTTTGCACCATCTTAGTGATTGCATGAGCCCATGAGCCACCTGTTCACCTCCATCAGGCGTTTACCATTGCATTACAGGGACTAACAGATCACAGTGTTTCATACCACTCAGGGGGGTAAAAGGAAATGGCTCCTAAAAGGCATAATTTTACATATTGATTTGACAAGCACTCAGGAAATCATAAGGTAACCCGGTGGTGCTGTTCACTAAGTGTTGGACTACTAGCTACAAAGTCGTGGGTCAAACCCACCAACCGCCAGCAGGGTAAAAGGAGGCCATCTGCTCCCGTAAAGATTTACAGCCTTAGAAACTCTGTAGAGGGTCTCTATGAATCAGAATCGACTCGATGGCAGTGGGTTTGGCTTGTTTGGTTCTGAAAATCATACTAAGAACATTTCCATGAATCCCTCATTTCCAGTGAAAATTCTCAAGTTTGTACGTTCTCTTATCTCCATTCCTGTAATGATCCTTTATTCTGCATCTCCTATGTCATATATCTAGACTTGGGGGAAAGTGTATTTGCCTGCTAGTCATTGAAGCCATCCCTAGAGGATGGCAGCACCTTCTTTGATCGAAATCAGTCGGGAGCTAGTTAGTAAAGAATTCCATATCCACTAGACCAGGTCACCAGTGGAAAGTCTCTAATTTTCATTGCCAGCAAAGATCGGGAGAACCATGTCATAAGTAGACACACATTGTAGATAACGTATTATCTCAAAAGGAACAGTGGTGGCTTAGTGAGACTGATTCCTCTTGGTCAGCAGTGTGAACTCCCATCCAGTGTGCGGGAGAGAGCTGTGGCTTACAAAGAGTTACCGTCTCAGAATCCCGCTGGCAGCCCTGCCTTGTTCTGTAGGGCCCTCTGACTCAATGGCAGGGCATCTGAGTAAGGACTTCTGGGGCATTCTGCTTCCCCGGCGAACCCATTTAGTGGGCAGTTCGGGGCTAAAGAAAGGAAAAGGAGGCAGCTTTGAACATTGATTCCTGAGACTTTTCCTGTCTGCCCGGGGACTTTGATCCCTGATTTACCAAGGAGCTGTACTTTCCGGATGTCCTTCGTGCTTCCAGTGGAACTAGTTTTATGGTAGCACACCCTTTGGGCTTACAGCATTTTCCAGTTGCAGATCAGCTTGAAATCTCATCAGAGGCTGGGTATCCAGAGCTCCTGGGTAAAAAAGCTCACTGCCATCAAGTCCACCAGGCCAACTCATAGTGACCCTGTAGGACAGGGTAGAGCTGCCCCTGTGAGTTTCAGAGACTGTTCCTCTTTATGGGAGTAGACGCCCAGGCTTGCTTCTGTGGAGAGACTGGTGGTATCAAACTACTGACTTTGCGGATCCCTGCCCAGCTCGAAACCACTGTGCCACCAGGGCTCTGAGCTGGAGGGTGCTCAACAGCAGAGCCTTTGCTGTATGTGTGTACAGCTCACAGAATCTGCCAGCAGGTTCACACCAGCCCCGTTTTGCCCAGGAAACAGTTCAATATCATGTCTGTGGCACAGTTAACACAAATTATTTTAGTAGGAGATAGAATCTGCTATGGTTTAAAAATATATTTCTAAGGCTTTTTGTGGGGGGAGGGTGGTATTTTAGAGGTTAAAAAAAATTTTTTTATGTGAATCTTTTCTTCTTCTTTTAAGGTCGCTGGTGTGGTCGGCCGTGCAGACCTGCTGTGTGCCCTGTTCTTTTTGTTGTCTTTCCTTGGCTACTGTAAGGCCTTTAGAGAAAGTAAGCATTCCATTTGGCTTCCTAATTTTGCACCTTGTTCGTGTTTGTGTCCTGTGGAGCAGTGTTTGAATAGCTGTGAAATTGTTGGTCCGCATGAATGTTTATACAACAGTCACTTTGTGGGCATGTGGGTCGGAAGATATGAAGTCCCTTTAGATGCGTGGGTTGACGTAGTCGTGGGAACTACAGCGTTCCGCTCGGTGTTCATATGGGAGTCTCCAACTACGTGGTAAAATGGTTTTGCTCTTGGTGCTGAAGTGGTGGTGATTGCTTTTTGCTATTTTCACTTCTGACAGAATTGGAGGAAAAGAACTTGGGGCTAGTTTTTTTATTATTATTATTGAAGCTTCTTAGGGATGTGTGGGTGGGGGTGGGGTGATAAAAAAAAGGAAAGGAAATTGCTGAAATGTAGATCTGTGAACATGCACCTGGACTGTGAGGTTTTCCTTTTTCCCTTGGTGCCGGGACTCCGAATGAAGGACCTTTGTCCAGTCACACAGCTCCGTATGGCACCTGGGCTCACATCTGAGCGGCCAGCATCAAGTGCACTGTGCTGTTCTGCCCCCTGCCCCCGGGGCTCAGGGAGACAGGCATATCAATGCAATCATTAAGGACAGCTAGAAGGTCACTTAGGACCTAGTTTTGATTCAGCCCCTGATGACCCAGGCTATGTACTATAGACAACCAGGACTTTAGACTCTGTCCTTCAGAAGTGCACAACGTTCTTCATAGGCCGTGCCAGGTAGATCCGATTTCAAGTCCCACTAAATGAACTGGACTTGACTTTAAGCACACTGGTAGCAAATGAAAGGAAGGAAACACTCGCATGAGCACCAGACAGAAGTGCACGAGTGTGAGAAGAAGCAGACGACCGCTAGCCCAAGGCTATGGATGCGGAAGTCATCGGACTTTGGTTCAAGATTCATGCCATAAGGATGGATAATAAAAGGCAGCTCAAAGATTTCCCTATAATTTCTATTTCCATATTCCCTTTGCCTTTTCATGACATAGTTAGTCTAGTTCTCTTTCTGAATGAACAATATTGAAAGTTTTGCCCTTGTTGTTTGTGTGAATAGTGTCCAGTCACTTAAGTTGCTAATCTGAACAAATCAACAATCCATGTATTTTGGCCTAAAAACCAGTCCTATACATGTAGAGTGCTTTAAATTCTACACCATTGGCTAAATTAATGGTAATGCTGAGAACTACCACATGCCCAATGGGGATTATCCTTAATGTCCTTCAACAAAATAGCAGTGATGTCTTCAAAGTGAACTAGAGACATATACAAACCATAGATATATGAATGGATTTGAGCACATGCTTATTTTTTCCCTAATCTACGGGCAATTAGTTCTTATGACACGGTCCTACACCATGCTTGCCCCATGAAATGATCACTAAAGACATGAATGGTATATGTAGCAAAGTGCGGTGAAGAAAGCAGATGGTGCCTGGCTATCAGAAAGAATAGCATCTGGGGTCTTAAAGGCTTGTCTTCAAACAAACAGCCAATTAAGCAAACGCATCTGTTAAACCCACTGGGGAGAAGCACACCAGCCTGTGTGATCCCAGAACCGTAGTCATAAAAACCAAACGCAGAGGAGGTAATGGTAATAAAGCCTAAATTCTGAACACCTGGTTTGCTGAAGGCTATAGATGACAGTGAAGTCCAAAACCCATTTACGGGGTGCCCCATGTGGAGTAAGCCTCAGGTGACTTCCCTCTGACTATGGACCAGGGATGGGAAGGGCCTGGTGATCAGGAGGACACTGTGCGGCAGAGCACCGCCATTGTCGCTCGGTCAAAATGTGACACCTTGGCATTTGACCTTTTGGAGTCAGCGTATAATGGTTCCACTTTTTAATATTTTCTACTTTGCTTTCAATTAAACATTTTTCTGTTTCCTCTGTCATTGTGTAGGGGGCTGTTTGCTTGAAATTTGTGTTGATTGTTGTATGTTGTTCTGTATGTAAAACCCAGGATAGGTAAACCTATGGAGACAACAGCAGGATCAATGTTTCAAAGGGCCGTGGCAGGGGAGACGGGCAGGAAAGGGAGAGCTGGCAACCACGAGTACAAGGCAGCAAAACTATCCTAGCATTGATAGCCGTGACGGTTACACAGCGCTTATGATTGTGATTCAGCTAGCGAAATGGAGGATCTATCAATTGTAGGTCGGGGGAACTGTTAAAAATAAACGAATTAATCTTTAAAACTATATATAGTAAGTATATAATTAAAATATACTGTGCAATAATAAAAACAAAAATACAACAACAAAGCAGCCAAGGGGTGATGCCACTGAACAGTACACATAAAATACGGTGGACATGGCTCATTGCACCCTGTATGAAGGGGCGTCAACAAAAGTTTGTGGAAAACAGAAATTCAAAGCTAATGGAATTTCCCATGAACTTTTTGAACGTGTGTGTGTGTGTGTGTGTGTGTGTTTATATTAGACCCACAGTAAAAATTACTAGTAGGTACATTCCATCTATCAATAAATTGTTAAATTTTAAGTGTGATAATAAGGTCACACCTATGTTTTAAGTAGTCTTGTCCTTTTAGAGATACATGGTGAAATGTTTATGGGTAAAATGTATGCTGTCTGGAATTTGCTTCAGAATAATCCAAGAGGAGGCAGAGATCCCGTAGGAATATTAATGAAACAAGGCTGCGATGAGTTGGTCATTATTTAAGCTGATTGATTGGGGTTGAAGGGCTCATAGATCAATGGCTCTACTGTTATTTATTTATTTAAACATACAAATCGTAAGACATTAGAATAAGATAAAACTCATTGCCAGCGAGTCAATTCTGGCTCATAGCCACCCTATAGAGCAGAGTAGAACTTCTCCCTAGGGTTTCCTAGACTATAAATCTTCATGGGACCAGCCAGCCTTATCTTTCTCCCATAGAGGGGTTGTTGGATTTGAACTGACAACCTTGCAGTTAGTAGCCCACTTCCCAACCTACAGCTCCATTAGGATTCCCCAAAATATTGGAATAGCACCTGCGGTATAAATAATTGATACCAAAACTATTGATGAGATGTAAGCACTAAGTTATACCATAAAGAAAAGACTTGTGAACTTATCCCCAATTTTTATAAAAAGCCACCTTGGCTAAAAGAATAAAGATTCTTGTTTTTCCCCCAATCTCCCACCTGCCCCTCATGCCTGAGTCTTTGCCGAATGGGGCCATCCCTGAAAACAGGTGCCGCTCTTTTTCCCTGCATCCCCATAACTTCCTTGTACTTTCGGTCTGAAAAATAAATATTGATGGGACGACTAACCTTACTGAAGAGAGAGCATGAGATCAGCTTCACTAGAGGGCACCCGCTTCCCATGGGCAGCAGGCTCACCCTGCATGCAGCTGGCTGAGGTCAGATGCTCTCTGCTCACCTCTGTAGTGCTGTAGTCGGAGAGACCCCATTCCCTCCTCACCATGAGCAGATGTAGAAGGAGTTGGCCAGGTGCCATAGAGTGGCCACGCATGTGCAAGAGAGAGACATTTCTCTGATAAGGAGGAAGAAAATGTCCCAAACCCAGCCTCCTTACCAGACAGTGTTCTGGGCCCAAATTTCCCCAAGCTTCTAAAACAAAGTTCTCTTTCAAGAAATGCTAGCCTCAGTGAAAATGACACACAGACCAGATTTTTTGTTCTATAAATTTTTAATGTCTTATAAATTAGTAGGAATCCCCTAGCAGCCACAAAAGGTGGGCCTGCATTCAAGTCCCGGGAGATATTTTTGCAAAGGGCCATAGAACTGTCATATGACCCAGCACTCCCAGCCCTGGGTTTATACACAGAAGCAGTGCAAGCAGGCGTGCAAACAGGAACGTGTACCCCAGGGCTCATCACTACATTATTTACACGCACAGCCAAAATGCTCAGCAGCAGAGGAATAGCTACCCAAAGTGTTAATCAGACACACAATGGAGAATGACTCAGCCATTGAGAGAGACGAATTCCTGATGCATGCTACAGCCGAGACGCACGTCATGCTGAGTGAAATCAGTCAGTCACAAAAGGACAAATACTGCCGTCTTACTCACAAATGAAATAGGCACATGCAGCCCTGGGTGGCATACGTGGGAAAGCACTCACCTGCTCGCTGAAAGGTTGGTGGTTCTAACTCACCAGAAGCGCCTGAAAAGACAGGCTTCCAAATGATGGAGAGCCCTGACGACCCCTGTAGGAATGGGGTCACCGGCAGTTGGAAGTAATCCCGTGGCTACGAGCAGTGACAGCAGCAGCACAGACGGAAGTGGGGGGGGGGGGGCTTTAGGGGTGGGAGGGAAGGGAAAGGGCAGCCGTTGCTGGTTATGTTTTGTGATCTAATCTCCCCACACGCGGCCATAAAACTCACTGCCATTGACTGGATTCCAACTGACAGTGACCCTGAAGGACAGGGTGGAAGTGACCCTTTGGCTTGCAGACATTGTAATCTTTTTGAGAGCAGGAAGCCCTATCTTGGATCCAACAAGCAGCTGATGGGTTCAAACTGCAGACCTTGTGGTTAGCAACTCAGTTCATAACCCATTATGCCAGCAGTTTGCACATCAGAAGTCACAGATAGCATGTCTTCCACATAAAATTTAGATGGGATTACAAACTGTATCGTACAGTTGGGACACAAATTCGATGTGTAGTCAACATCTCATATGTAACCTTTGCCTCCCCCAACCCTAACTGCTAATAACCTACTACTGACAAAAAGCCCTTACCAGTAACATCAGCTACTAGTGCTGAGTTCATGTGTCCTATAGGTTTTTCTCTTTAAAAGCTGCATTTTCAGTCCGAGGGGGGAAGTCGATATTGCAAGAAGTGCAACATGTTCGCCCGCCCTGGAGGAGCCTTCCTGACAGCTTCTCGAATCCCCCTTCTGCCTTTGCCATGGTCCTCATGCCGGATCCATTTACCTTGACACCGTGGGCACCCGCGGCTCCAGTCATTCGCCTTTTCCTTGCCACGGCTTTTCTCTGCGTCTTGCC